AATGTAACTTTTGAAGTAGTGGACCTTTTCAAATAAAACAAAGAGTATTGAAAAGCCAGAAAGCAGTTTTATTTTTAGTTAAAATATCATTACAATTGGTTGAGTATTCATGGAGTTATAAGTTTTTATATTTAATAATTGTAAACATTGAGCCAGTTTTGTGAGTCACTGTAAGTTGTACAAATTAAATCAATGGACGGTGGATCAATAACTGCCAGCAGACGTCTGAAAAAGAAAACCAGATCTAATAAAAAAACTTACTATTGTTGAAATCACAACACACCTCTGTGTCAAGAAACTTATCTTATTATGTTAGGATTGGAAGAACTTACTTTGAAAACATCAGAAACCATTTAATTAACAATGGTTTGATTTCAAGACTTCATGGCAATATTAAAAGAATGCCTCAATGAAAAACTAAAATGGTAATTGATCATAATGCTGCAACTGCTGTGAAAAACTTTTTAGAGAATTATGCTGAAATTCATGGCTTGCCAAGTCCAGGAAGAAGTGTTAATAGAATAACTCAATCAGTTATTTTCTTACCAGCAGAAACAACTTATAAATCTGTTTACCAGAATTTTTTGACAGGTTTGGAAGAAAATAGTAATTTGAAATCCTTAAAATATGATGCATTCAGAAAGTTGTGGCATCAATTAATAATAATAGAATGTTCACTTTGTCTGGTTTTGTTGCAGCATGCCCCAATTGACAGTAGCTAGCATTTTCTTAAAACAAACCTTATTTTTATGTATATATAGCCATGCTTGTTGGATCCAACACATCATTATGACTTTCATCTTTCTTGTTACTATTACTTAAAAAAAGGTTGTTAGCATTATCAGAATTGAAAATGCTAATATATGAAAATCACCAGTCAGAATTAAAAACAGTTAGTATTAGTCATTAATATTAATGAGCAAAGCTTAAAATTAAGTGATTACCTGTCCAGAAGATTTTTCAGAATATGTTGATGAATTTCTACTGCTGATATTGTATGATTTCGTAATTGAGTGACCTGCAGCAAAATTGATTGGCATAAATATTACATACAGCAAAATAAAATAAAGTTAAAAATACCTTCAACTGTTCTATCTTAATCTCAGCCAATTCAACTGCCTTCTCACCTTCTATTGACATCAATGCCTGTTTATGATTAGTTTTGTAATCAGTTTCAAGCTTCTGAAAATACTCTGTTGTTGATTTTGAGAGCTTCCAACCCTGCAGTTATAACCAAGAAAAATAGAAATTTGGCTAGATGATAAGTAATTGAGCTAATTCCCATCCTCATAGCTTAACGCATACATTAACATGGCCATAGTGAACAAACAGTCCCACAGTGTGCCACAGGAGGCTAAAGAGAAGGGCAGATGAACAGTCGATCTTCCAGTTGACTAACAATCCAGTCCCCTGGCTCAGCCAATCTTTCTATTACCTCTTCAGATTACAGCAACAGAGAACAACGAACAGTTGCTTCATAATAAATATAACCCTATCCATGTACATGCTATTTAGATATATTAATATGTGACATACATACCTTAAAGTCACTATAAAGCTGAATTGCCCTCTGTTTTGTACTCACTTTTGCATGATTATCATCCATAGTCACCTCAAGTCTTTTCTTTATTTGATCTAAGATCCTCTTCTTATCACATCTAAATTTCTCATAAGAACCACACCATTCAGCAAACCCATCAAAGAACCATGCACTTGGTGAAGTAATTCGTAGGTAGTCATCCGTTTCAATAACTCTCATAGTGTGTTCTTAGCTGAGTTTGTTGTTTGATAATGACTTGTTTTGTGTCGTATGTGCGTAATGTAGAGTAAAGTGACAACTGTGGATTGTGAGAGTGGGGTGGATGGTATATATTAATATATGTGTATGAGGAGACGCGTATTCGCGTGCGTGCTTGTTTAGATGACGGCAGATGACACATGTTAGCTGTTATCTACGCAGCAAGGAGTGTGAGAATATGACGTCGTGTTATGATTGTTTCCGTAAACAAGAACAATAGTATCAGTGTAACATATGTCGTAAA